CATTACACTACAATTCCAGACCTTCTTCCTGAGTCGTTTCCACTTTATAAGGACCGTTTATTGGCTAAGCTCTTCATGTAAAATGAATAAACTTTTCTTATCTAGATACATTTTCTATTGAGACAGGGGGAGGAAAATTTATCTTAAGGATGAGTCTTCTGGGACTTTACGCCTTTCTACCAGACTACACAGCGCAACATCGCAAAAGGTATTCGTCTTCATGTCCTCGCCATCGTGAGAACCTGGATTTTCAACTTTTATCATGTACCAGAGATTTGGTGGAGGGGAGGATGGGTAGACGAATCCGTAAACCATCACAAACACGACCCCTAAGTCTATTGAAACGATTTGTAGTTTTTTTGATGGGTGTAAACTCAACTGCACTAATTATAAGACACTATCAAGGCGATATCTACAAGAAAACTGTAATCTGCAAGGATAATTTTCACCCCACGAATAAAACCCCTGTTGCTGCTTCTCATCCAAGGCATCACCGAACTTCAAACAAACAATAACCGACAAATGATAAACTATTACTTGAATGTTCATTACGTCTATTAATCAATTCTTTGGGTGTCATAACAGTATTACATCCATTCTCACACACATACACATATAACATAAAATCACTCAAATCAGTCTGGTAGCGAAATAAAATTACCCCTCTGTCAGCTTGCAGCTGGTCTTCATGACCCATAAGATTGGGCATCACGGTGAGATTGTATCCGATATCTTGACACATGTGGATAGTTATCCGCTCACACTTCCGTGCCCGGCCATGGCATATCGCCAGGCTAAGAAGCAGAAAAGACAACAACATTGCCTTAAACGCCCCCATGTCGAGGCACAACACTTCAACAACCGTCTCCACTCACCGTCAGCCCCACAGTAATAATTATCGTTCTTCCGAAGAGAGCCCAACTGCAACACATTTGCCGTCCTAGACATGTCGCTACTGGGACTCCGGTTTCGGACATCTTCGGTTGTCTTCGGTTCTCACAAGGTAGGGTTATAGCTCATCGCTCGTGTTTACGAGCGGTTCCGCCTTGTGATTGGGAGGGCAGTGGAAGTAATTCTACATGCAGAGTGACCTTTCATGTTTTCAAAAGAGCAAGACAATATAGGGACAAGACAAAAACGGTATCTTTATAACCGACATATTTTCATGACGACTGCAGTAGAAGAACAAAAAGATAATTGGTGCAATATTTCTTGAAATTTCCAAAATATAAATAATGCAACCAAGAGCATTCTACTCACGAAGGGCCATTTCCTCTTCAGCGAGTCCTACGAAATATATCAGAATTAGTAGTTACTAGTTCATTGTGCATCGGTACAGGCCGAAGGACAATATCAGTGAAGGTTAAAAAGGAGGAAACCTCAGAAACTATCATGAAGAACAATACAAAAGGACCGACTAAAGAGAATAAATTGAACGGATACATGTTTTATCTTCCATACATCTCTTTTATTCTACTGAATGATTAGGTTTCGTAACGAAGTGGTAGGGACCTATAATAATCAGGAAGCGGTCGTGACTTACAGTGAAAGTTTTGAAAAGACGGCATTTGTCTTACTGGATCAGTAGCCAATATCACTGGAATTACTGACTCTTTTGTGAAAAGACTTTAAGGAAACATGATACACATTCCAGTCGACAGTATTACACTCTGCACGGAGTTCTACAGAAGGAAAGCAGTTGGTAAATGAATGGTTTGGTGTGATAAAACTAATATGTATGTCAACATTAGGTCTACAGCGTTCAGCCCATTTAATTTTGGGACTCGCTGATTGACAATGAAAACTCATGTAGGTATTACTTCAACTTCTTTTTATTTTTAAAACCAGGCTGGTGTAGTGGCAAATCTCTAAACTTATACTGGAATCTCAGCCTGTTTGCCGGTTATCCTGAGGTTTTACGTAGTTTTCTTCAGTTATTCAGGTGAATATCGGGATAATACCACCAGGCCACGACAGGCTCCATAAAAATCTTTGCTCGCCATTCATTAAAATCTTCTATTACTCGATGTTACATTAGCTTTATAGACGAAACAGGCTTAAAAAATTTCTTACACAGAAATTTGAAATCTCCGTCATGACGAAGAGTAGCACGTATTGCATAGGCCTATAAGTCACCTCCGTCTATCCATTAACTTGTTCTTACACATGCATCAGACATGAAGTCGAGTAGACGATTGGATCATATATCCATGTTGGTGAACACACTGCTTCCATCTTCGGAGCTTAAGCTTTATAACACACAAAATTAATTGAATAAAAATTTTCTTGGATATTATCCATCGTCTAGTAAATATAAAACGTAAAACGACGTTTCGGATATGGGACTCTATCTCCGTCTTCAGGTTCCTACACAGTTGGGCCCACTAGATAGAGCTAATCCCTATCCGGAGATGGATAATATCCAAGAAAATTTTTATTCAATTGACTCTTCACCATCGTCAAGAAGTTTTAGATTTGATACACAAAATTAACATGAATATTTTCAAAGCCGTGAGAACATAAAATCTCATACGATTGCTTAATAGGTTATTTAAAGCTATTTTAGGGGTTTTTTTTAAAAAAAAAGTCTGACGTTTGACCCTATGGCGAATATTTAAGGAAACATAAGAAAAAATAACTTCAGATTGATTGCAGCGTATCTGTCGCTGGACTGGCTTTGCAACAACACATTTATATCAGAACAAATAAACATCAAGGCCAACATATAACATCTCTTGACCGTGGACCATCGAGCTACACTGGCTGGTGTGGAAGAAAGAAAGATGCAAAGAGAAAAAATACTGCATATTCGCATAGGCCTATTGCCCCGTGACGGCTTCTTAACCTTCCAAAAAATTATTCTCAAATGCTGACGTAACTATAGACACAAGCTTCTTTACACTGTATCTTCGGCGTCAGCAGACAGCAGATACCTCAGAAAAGGCAAGCCCAGCCGAGGTTCATGTGAACTTTTCGGCAAGAATCAATGTAATGTAACGGTGTTTTTCGAACTGAAATTCTCAGACTCCCCTGTAATTTAATATTTTAAAACACTAGGATTAATACAAAATAGAAATAATAATAATAGAACAAAAAAATAAATGACGATATAACGAACACTGGAGCAACGGAAAGCAACCGACACGGATGACAAATATTTACGTCACAGGTATTTACTTACCTCTCGCGGACAGAACATGTCCGTTCCACCTCATCCTCCTTGATACGTTAACTCTGTTAACATTTAATGTTAAGGAATCTACATATCGTGTAGCAAATCGAAGTGTGCATGTTTTGCTAGCTACACACAAGGAACAAAATATAATTCCTGTGTTTCGGTTCTACAGAAGTCATTAATCTGTCCAGAAGACCTAACAGATAATATTTAACTGGACAGAATAAACTGTGCGTCTGACTGGACGATTCCATTAAATACTTACTGTCATATTTCGTTAATTTTATTATCTTCCGGTGACCGACAGCAGCCAACCAAGCAGAGCCTTTACATAACATAATGGTGTTGGGTTACATTTGCAGAATACCACGTTAGATTCTCGACAGAATTAACAGCTGTCCTGAGAGAGATTTGAGTTTCTCACGGAAATGAAGATGACTATGTTCTTTTGGGGAATAACGCGGTGTAGACTCAACCCGGAACATCGTCAGCTGTCCTAAGAATTTCTTGGTTTTCTCTGTCTCTTCAGAAAAATAAGCCCGACCGACTCATTCTAAATTCTTACCTACTCATAATTAACTTCCCATTTCAGCCGATTCTAATTAACCTCTGACACATTATCTAAATAATCAGTGATCATGGCGGTTTCTTTCGTTGTCCATCTAACGACGGATTATGAACTTCATAGATGAGATGGGATAGAATAATTATGAATGGTGATCAAGAAAGGACTATACCAGAATTTGTAAGAAGGGGTTGGAGAAAAATACGAATCATCAATGATGATTGTCGGTCATCTACCAAAGTTTTGTTCCGGGCATATTCCGAATAC